ACACTGTGTGGAGCGATTAGAAGGGTTGCAGTTTCGAATGGTCAGCATACGGATATTAAACCGATGTGGAGACACAAAGAGACTGGGTGTATCCGTGCCGCAATGTAGTCAAAGTTTCATTACCAGAGCCATTTGGTCCGATAGATAAACTGAGCTATGTTAAATCGACAAAAGCATGTTTGATTAGAAACCTCTGAAAATACTGAATGAGAAATCGGATTTTCTGCTAAAATACAGGTAGATATTTTGATTTTCCAGGAAAACCCCTGAGTTCAGTGGTTCCAAGAAGTTGTGTTACACTAACTGTTTCAGGGTGTTCACTGCATGCAGTGGTATGCTAAATTCTATTTTCGTCAAATACTGTTAGCATCAAACTGAGAGAAAAATTTAGTAAAACTTCAATGCTGCAAAATCTGGCCAAACTTAGAGAGCACTTATAAGACGTTGAGTGTAAAATTTTCAAGGTCAGATTTCATACCTTGTTGAAAGCTTTCCACACCAAATGGATTCCGTCATTTCTAACAAAGGCAGTTCCATCGAATGCTACTGAAGTTTCTATTGTGTCTGCCAGACTATCACCTATTCGTGTCCAACGAAACGTTTCCCCAGCGATTCCATTCAAAAGACAACTATAAAGGTGCAAGCGTTTATTAATAACGTCAGAAAAAGTGCACTGACTAATTGAGAACTGTCCTACAGATATTTTGGGGGTTGAATGAATTATTGATCAATTGCGGCACGTATAAGTTTTGTTTTGAATATCTCGAAGCTTTCTGGTGGTATTCTATATTTCTTCAATGTGTTTAACATCTTAGATATTGAAAATTGCTCTGTATTACTCTCTTTCTGTGAATTTTTGGAGGTCTTGTTTACACTTATTTCCTAGTTCTTTTAGGCAATTATTTTTTCTGCTCGAACTCAGATAGCCATTGATGATGCAGCATTCCAATGTTGTTTTCTGAATGAAAGGTCAAAACACCCAACTCACTCAGGCTGAATGCCTGAGTTGCATGTACAGATCACACATGTTATGAACTCTGACCAGTATGACGGAGAATTACTAAAAATCCATGGCTCCTATCTACCCCCAAATGAGATATGACCTGCATATTTTTGTCCGTGGTCCGGGGGTGCACTGAGGGGACTACGAGACTTTTGGACATCTTATCCCGAAAATACTATTCCTCAAAAATAAGGTCGAAATCCTTATACGAGCTGAATATAATAGTAGAACAAGTGCAAGATCCTATGATCCTACTTTCAAATTTTTTCGACTAGTAGTAGGAAAATAGAGTGGAATAGAGCATCTTATGCATTATAACCCGTTAACGTACTCGATTTAGTGCTCCTCCGTATTGGAGAAGTTAGTTGCGTGCAGCTATGCTTATGATACTCAGTTGTATGCGTAGTAGAAGAGCGAGCTTTTCCATTCACATGTAGGAACGGTTGACTTTAATATTGAAACTAATAAAGAGCGATAGGATAGCATAAACGCTGTTTGGAGCGAAAAGGTAGACGACTGGTTCTGGCATTGAGGTTGAGTGTTGATGACAGAATTAGAACTCTGACGTAATAGATCACGCGTAGTCCATGTAAATACCTTAAGCAGCTCGTCCAGTAAATGACAATGCTGCATATTTTCGTGCCAAGTAAACCGCACTGTTTCGCTGAAAGAGTTCATTGCTTGGAATATCAGTGTATGACCCAGCGATGTGCATGCTAATGTGGTAGTAGAAGAACCACCCCGATTTTAAGAAATAATAACTCAACCTGTTGCTTCTTCGACGGGAAATTTTCCTCATATGGAACCTTTTTGACCTTAATCGTTGGGCTTCAAACATTGTTTCCAAACTGCATTCTTGTGGTTAAAATTACCGATATTTTGAGGGATGTATATTTTTTATTGCACACCAGTGTGTGATGAACAGACGGGGTGAGTCCCATAGTCACCGCTGTTCAGCGGTGAGAACCGGCAACCGAAGCCCCGGGACTTGGAGTGGCGAACCACACATGAGGCCCCGATAGGTTAGGTGTGGTATTAAACCGGAGGACAGCAGAGCTGCCTACCAACAAAGTTGGGCGCCGGTGGCGGGGCTTGAACCTCGGACCATAGGGTCCAAAGCACGCCTGTGATAGCGACTAAACCACTGCGCCACCACCACACAAATGGATTTTTTTTCTTATGGTCCTAAGTCATTTAACTCTTCGGTATTCATTCGCTTAGATGGTTTAAATCTCAGTTCTTTTTTCAGAACGCTGGTTGTAGGCGAACATATGTTTTCCGTGAGTTCCTCATCAAGCCAGTACAATCAAACACATTTATGTGATTGTACTGGATTGATAATGAACTGACGGAAAACATATGTTCGCCTACAACCAGCGTTCTGATTATGACTGTGAGTTCTTCTTTTGATGAACTTTGCTCCTTTGGCTGTTTGAGTCTAGTGGCCCAATTTCCCGTAAGAATACAGCAAGGCATCAAAGTCGCCCCTTCTGTCTGTAGTCTTAAACAGACCAAAGCCATACAAACTCGATTAGGCTAAAATACATTGAGTGTATTGATCTTTCGGAGCAGACAATGATAGACGTCAACTTTGGTCTTCAAACTGCACCCTTTATGCTGTTTACAAACAAACGTCGATTGTTCACGTGCATCTACTCATGGATTGAGAGTACAATCGTGTGAATTTATCGACCCACTATATGCGAAATAGCAGTGCAAACGATTGATTGAAACGTATATTCTGCCTGAGTGCATTCTGATGAATTATGTCAGTGCACTGTATATAATACTTCCGGTCGATTTTTACAGTCCTCATTCTGCGCACTCTATCATCAGTCAGTTTTCCGGTATATGCTACTGTAATCCAAGTGATGGTCATGTATCAGTCGTGCGTCTCTTTTATGCTCCTTCTCCCCAATCTATTTATTGTGTCCGGATTCAGTCTAGTTCGGCCAGCTGTTTACACTGGTTATGCTGATGAGGCTCCCGAAATTGCATCATTTTATCATAATTTCCGCCGCACTCACGGTTTGTACGGTACCCCGGTGAACTATGTGTTTGTGCGAGAAATGCGACCAACTTTGGTATCTACAAGAGCCAAATACGGTTACGGACCAAAGCACGCGTACCTGTCGAAACCGAAAGTTGAGTACACAGTGATCACTCGACTGGTGCAAGAATTGCGAATTCCTGTTCCAATAAAGAAGTACGGTTTAGCACCGAAGATCGGTCGGAACTACAAATTCGAGCGACCGGGGTACGAAGAACAGAAGTACCGTCCGTTTGAAAGAAGACCGCACCACCATCACTTCTATTATCAGCATGATGATTACCGAGAGCGGGAACCTGGGAGATTTTGAGTAGTATAGTAAAAGTATTTGAAACACCTTGTTACTCTTGTTAAATAGCGTGAATAAAAGTAGTTGAACGAAGAGCCGGTTTAGTTTGTGCAGCACGGTAAGAGACGTAGTATTTGATGTCGATTGTTATTTTCCCTGTAGTGACATGGTTCACTTTGAGTCACTCATTTTCGTTATCTGTTGTGCGGGGAAAAGTTGGACGGAGGCTAAACATAAACGATTCAGAAAACGAAGTGGTAAACACGTCCATTTTCCGTGCTTCATCAGCTAGCTGAATACCGCACAATTATAGGGGTGAAAATAATTGAGGTAATGGAAATAAAACCACGTGCGGAAGGGGAGCACTAAGTTGGAGTTTCCAAAGTCGAATAACATTAAATTAATCAATTTCCAGAATTTAGCCATTGATTGTCGTGGGTGTTCTTGTAACGTACTCGGCTTGCTTTTGATGGCTATGGCAATCAGAGAGTATCAACTGTCAGGTGATTCACCAAGCTGGAAACACGCTGCAGAGTAGAATTTTAGACAAAAATAACTTGACCAGAACTCCAGATTTGACGTCATTATATTTTTTCTTGTGGAACCGCCTGGAGCCTGTTGTATACACTCTCCAGCCGCATTGCTTAAACAAACTGGAAGAAAATGTTATTATTGCATAGTTAAACATCCCCATGGAAGCAGAAGACAATGATTACGTGGGCCTGATAAAGCGAAGTGGTAGATGTGTTGAGGGAAGGACAATGCTTTAAACACATCCTACAGTCACTAACGAGAATTGTCAATCCAGTGACCAAATGAAAATCCGTTTTTTCTACTAACCGAACGGATTTCATTCACAGGTAATTTTTATTTTTAAGGATCGATTGACTCAGCGACCTACTACCTATCTTAATCACGAACTGAGGGAGGTTAATTAAAAGTGATTGGTTTATCTGTTAATGTGTATGAAGTTACCATGGTAGAGGTGGCCTACTAAAAGGGAATGCTTGATTACTGAGTTTCAATGCGTGAAGCAATCTTTTGTGAACTTTATTACAGACATCAATAATGTGGTTGTACCCCCAAACAATCTTATAAATAAGCTATCCAGGGGAGGGTTTACATCATAATTTGTGGCTTACCTTTACTCGAACAAGCTTCTTTTTTCTGTTGATCCACTAAACAGGAATAAAATAGCGAGTTTTGTTCTCCACTGAACATAGCTGAATGTTTTCAGATGTATGCATTTCCCCTTATTTTTCAACTCCACCATAGTCAGTACCTTCTTCCTGGATCCATTTGTTCCACTCTGAAACAATCCGGTCTGAAGAAAACACTGATTTTTCACAGTCGAAGCAGTCTGCTTTGCGCTTCGTCGGAATAAAACGGCTAAGTCGCACGTGGCCCTAACACTCAAACTTGACGCATCCAGACCAAATGTGTTTTGTCATCGTCCGTTAAATCCATCTTGCAGTGACTGACAATTGAGCAGCAAAAGGTCAGCACAAATCGGTTGGGTCACCCCACACAGACACAAGCGATTTAGGAGGGAGTGACTTGCTAACATGCTTTGCCATTTGACATAGTTTCTTCGGATAAAAGTGCAAATAAACTGCAGTTGAAAATTTTACTCAGCAGTGTTTCCTGATAGTTATCCCCTCATTCCCGTACGGGGTTGTTAGGGTGCAGAACGATGGATGGTAGACAATATCTGAACTCCGTTGATCATAACCATTTGATGAAATTAGCATGCCACCATCAAATTACCCAGTGAGTTTCCACGGCAATGTGTCCAGAAAGCGCAGTTGCTCCGTTTATAACCAGCCCCTTATGAGATGGTGCTGTCGGATACGATCGGATGAACTGTTATGCAGCTTGCTGAACAGAACAAAGGGGTCATTATATGCATTTAAGATCGTCTGGAATCCTGATTATATTTTGCTATGAAGACACTACACCTTGTCTCATCAAGCTTTAGCTAAAACCCACATTCCTTTAGCCTCAACCCGCAGTCCTTTAGCCTCGACGCACAACTTTTAGTCAGAACAAAAACTATCGTAATATTCTGAGGTCAACGAATCTTGAAAAAAATATATTTTACAAATTTTGATATTACAAAACTTGACTGATAAATGAGATGTGACGATCGTATGATGTACAGTTGACTGTAGTAACGGTATCAAATGCCGCATTACATAGTGATTGGAGTATCGTCAAACCATTTGGTACATCTCGTATGGCTTCAGTGTTTTCAGTGAACCAGTTTTCAATGTAATAAATAATAAGCGANCGCTCACCTGTTTGAATTTACTGAAGATCTCTTCCAATGGATTAAAAAGGGACTGTATGGTGGGAGAAATCGGACTTGATGGTTGACATTTAACTGCGCATCCAAAGCTCTCCGATGAACGGAGGCATTGTCAAAGATAAGAACTACTGGGACACCCGGTTGGTCAGTAGCGATTAGCGTAGAACAGCTTGATAGGAACCCATTGAAAACTTGCCAAGT